AGAGAGCGGAAGGGGAGGGTTGTAGAGAGTTTCTCTACTGAAAACAAGGGAATTCTTTTTATTTCTGGAATAAATCATAGTAGATCCTGTGTGGTTAAATGCTTAGTTGTGAAAGCACTTTTGAATCATGCCACAGTGAGGTGTTTTGGATAAACAACCCCCCTCCTCCAATTAGTTTATCTCGTTTAATTTTTTTTTTTTTTTTGGTGGTGCTCCCATGAAAATTGCCTCACTAGCCACTGGAGATGATACAGAGAATTGGGGAGAAAAGAGTGAAAGAAATAAACCTCCCTTGATGTGGAAAACTTTTAGATCTTTCCCCCCAACTTAGTTTATGTGCAATGCTGGGAAACTGTCCTGAGTCCTTTAAGTATGTTGCAACAGAGCAAAATTCTGTATATAGAGTTCAACTGATTTTTGTTAAATATAATTTGAAAAGTTACCTCAATATGAAATATTTGTTTTGTAATAAAGATAATACCCACAAGAAATATGTGCTTATCTGCTATAGTGATGTTGACAGTTAAGATAAATTTATGTTGGGACCAGCAGTTAGCTTAAAGGCTATGTTGCTGAACTCCCATGTAGTCGACCGCGGTTCAAGTCCTGGACCCGTGGCTTAAATTCATGCCAGGTGTATGTGCATGTTTACCCAAGATCCTGAGAGGAGAATGGAGGAGAATGGATTGCAGTGTGGCCATCCCCCCTGGGGGGTGATTTCTCACTTTCTCTCTCTCTGTCTCTCTGGTGAGTGCACGTGCCCTATAGCAAAAACCTCTCTGCCAGGGTCCAGCCTTGGCAGGCGTGGGTTATCTCGTCAGAGGCAGCACAGGAAGGAAAGACTGAGGCCTCGGTGCCATTTTCGTGCACGTCCTCAGTCGGACACCCCCCAGAGATTGCTCTCTGTAGAGTGACCACTGGTAGGAATTATCGTGCCTTTTTATTGGAAATGTGATACATGCACGTAAATGGGTGAGGGGCTACATGTTCTAATTATCAGTTCATAAAGTTTTAACAATAGGGAACACAGGTTCCATTCAGGGTTGGATTAAGGGTGGGTCTATTGCAGTTCAGCAATTGTTTGTTTGATGTAGGCAGGTCTTCAGAAACTTCATGGAATGCCGTTTCAGGAAATAGCCTCCAGTAAGCAGAATTAATTATCAGCCAATGCTCAGCTACAGCCATCTTGTGATTACTGAGTATGATGCTAAGAAGAGAAAAATCTCAAGTATAGCCATTAGTTCTTATAGATCTCAATAAAGAGTGATACTTACATAGTTTTATAGGAATCTAAAACTTAATTTAAGGAATCTTAATATATTTATCTATTTCACTTCGTGAGGGTGGGGGTGTCCTGGGCCAGTTTCAGCCTAATCCTATTTTATGTAAAGAAAAGATTACTTTTAAGCTTATGTTAAATGTATCTTGAAGGGCCTTCCAAAGGTCAAGAAGATTATTTCTGCCTAGAAGAACTTCAGCACACCCTCTACTGTGACCACAGGGATGAAGCATTGTAATTAACAGTAGGTGGTCAGGGAAAAGGGGAGAGGTTGGGGGAACTTTCAGGAAATCTTATCATATACTCAGGATGTATAAGAAGGCTATGTAATTCTTTTATAGTAGTATATCAGGGAGTCAGAGTGGGATCGCTTCCCAGCAAGGCTACCGCAGTCTCTGGAGCATACAACAAGCAATCTTGCCAACATGCTGAGTCGACCCAAGCTTTGCTCATAGGTCGGGGGACGTCAACAGCGGCCTTGCCAACATGCTGAGCCAATCAAGGCTGTGCTCAAAGGTCAGGGGGCACAAACAGATCCTGGGGCCCTGCCAGGTCAGACTCCTCCGCCTCTCCAAAAAAAAGATACATTTATGTTTAACAACTTTCTTTAAAACATTACCAAATACTTTTTTACTTTTCTCACTTTAAAATGAAAGAGTTTCTTAAAGTATTTCATGGCAATATTATTTAATTTTTTTTTTTTTTTTTTTTTTTTTTTTTGCTAGAGAGTATGTATACTTGCCGGAGAAATACAGAGACAGGAGAAAGCACTTCCCAATGGCACATGACCATGCCCCAACCCTTTCTCTTCTGTTTCTCCATCTTGTTGGGATTTGGGACATTCACGTACATGCATGCATGTTTTCAAATCACCAGGACCAGGATTTAAACCATGCAGTCAGCTATGTGGAATCTGGCTCCCTTAACCACTCGGCCATGGGGCCAGCCTGAAATTTTTATTTTCCATTCAGGTAACATTTTGATAAAATTACTTTATGTCTTGCTTATGATATCTCACTAAATATACTTATTATAGATGTGGAAAAAGCATGAAGCAAACTCTCAACTTTTGTTTGAGGTCACACCCAAAGTTCCTAATATTTAGGTTTAACAAGAATTCTTGCTGGCCTCTCAGAATGTCATTTGTGTAAACTCTGGAAGCTACAGGGAAATGTATTCCTCATGTTTTTCTTTGAAGAAAATGATTTCACCTAAACACTTGTACTAAACAATGAGTTTTTACCTACACTTTCACCAGAGTACATCTGAATTCTCCTGCAGGTTTATTAAGAGAACAAAGACTTTCTCACTTTCAGTCTGACCCTTCTTATTCTTCATATCTTTCTGTTCCCTCACAAAGCTGTATTCTGTAAAATATGTAGAGGAGATTAAAAAAAAAAAAAAAGTCCAGTCATGGTGGTGTATGCTGGAGGCTGCTGTTTGGAGGCTGGGATCATAAGAAGCCTGAGTTTTGTTCCCAGCACATCCTCCAAAGCTAAGTGCAGTGGTACATCTGTGCTCCCAGCTACTCAGGAGGCTGAGGCAGGAGGAGCATGACACAGTGGGACCCCATCTAAAATAAAACCACAAACACACACACATGCACATGCGTGCGCACGCACACACACACACACACACACACACTACATTATATATACACAGTGAGACCCAGATCTCTGTATTTTTAAAAGTATGCCAGGAAGTTCTAATGGCATCAATCCACACACCTCCGTCTGGCTTCTATGACTCTGGGTTAACGGTCTGACTCTATTAGCCTACAGGTTCTAGACAACCTACAGCTCTCTCTGAGGAGATCTACCTGATCCACCCTGTGCTCCATCGTCCCGGATGCCTGAGGCACAGGTGACCAGGTTACAGCTAGCACATGCCCCGCCTCACTACATTGGGTTGTGGGAAAAGTCATGACGTATTTTTTGTTTTCCTATGCAAAAATACATCATGACTTTTCCAACGACCTAATAATGGGTCTAGGATTGGGCTTTGGCTTCGGTAGTTTTTAAAGTCCCAGGTAATTCCAGGAGCCAGAGGGTGGTGCAGCAGTAAGGAAACTGAACCTACATGAGAAGGTCCTGGGTTTGTGGCCCAGGGCCTTCTTTACATACATGTGCACATGTATGTGGGGGCGGAAGCAGGGATGAATCCCAGCACAAAGACCCTGTTGGGAATGTCTGCCTTTGCATCTCTCTCTCTCTCACACACAGAAGAAATAAATTAATAAACTTTACAACCAAATTCCAGGTAATTCTAAAGTGCAGCCCACACTAGAAGTCCTGCTATAATATTAGAATAATTCGTTCTAGAACCTTTGGGCCATTCTTGGGTTCCAGGTGCAGATGTAGTGTTGGAGACAAAAAGCTAAACATTCTCTGGCCCCATTTCCTGGTGATTACATTTCCACTTTGCTCTCACAGGCTGGCTGCCTCCCCTGCCAGGGTCTCAGAACGGGCTCATGCAGCTCTGAGCAGCGCCACGGTCAGTCCTAGTTTCAGGCATAGCCAGTCACCAGAAAAAAATAGGATATTTCGCTTTTTGATGAACTACCCACCACCAGATCAGTGATCAGGTAATTCTGTGAGTCTTGACTCTCAATAGCTTTAATTAGCATCCGCCTTGGCTCAAAATAAGCCTTTACGTTCCTGAGAGGTTCCTCTCTGTCCATGTACCGCAATGTCAGGTGCAAGTGATGACTGCAGAAGCACCGAGGGTGGCCTCAGGCTCAGACACAAAGCAGGAACCCTGGCTCTCCCGAGCTGGCGTAGATCACAGCTATTATTTTAAGCAACCAAATATAAGTGCGGCGTTTGCTCAGAGCCTTCTCGTGTAACTGACCATTACCGTCCTTTTGAGTAACACAAGCCGTCCTCCATAAATTGTAGGCTGAGCAGATTGGCTGGAAGTCCCCCGAGGCGAAAAATGGAACAAGCTGGACTCCGGCCCGGCCAGCAGAGGGGAGGGTGGGGGGACATTGTTGTTGGGACATTGTCTTTGGGACCTCATGCACTTCCAACCAAACAGAACTTCAGACCTCCCTCATGCTTCCTGGCGTGGCTGTTTCCACATCCTCACCCTGCCCCCCACCTGCCCCCCAGGCAATCCCAAGCTGGGGTAACAAATACCAGCTGCTCGAGAGGGTGGCGATAAGGCAAACTTTGCTCTGCTTTATGATGGTGACAGAGCTAGGAAGAGGAAGTTTTTCTTTGTCCTTTAGATGTTTCACTCTGAGGTCAGACTACAAAGGACCATTGTCCTTATCCTTTTTCATGCAGGATTTAAGTGGATTGCATCTACACATAAGACCCCAAGTGGCCAGAGGTTCCAGAAAGAGCTGTTCTATGATAGCGGTTCACATGCTGGCTGCATTTTAGAACGACCTGGATCTTTTTTCCTTTTTATTTATTTAGTTCTTCCGTGAGAG